TAATTTGGTATTTGATCTCAAGCAGACCTTCCGGTTTTTTGGCCGAAAAGTGGCCACTTCTCACCAAGATTGGATCNACCTGACCCTTTGACGACAATGCGGATTTCGACGTGACGCGCCCATGGGACCACGCTCCCCTCCTTCCGCGCGCGACTGGCACCCACCGGTGGGTGGCACTGTCCCAGGAGAAGATTTTCCACTGACTTACTGAATTTAGCAATTTGTAAGAAACAATAATGTATGGCGGCACCCAGGATTGGGTGCCAATGTTCCATGCGCCAGTCATTGTGGCACCCACCGGTGGGTGCCATTGTCGTCAGAGGGCTAAATTTTCAATAAGAAGAGGTCCGTGCTAACATTCTGGTTCCGTAAAAGCATTCAAAACTGTATCTCTTTTGCTGCTGTTTCGCCGCTGTACATGATGCCAAAGTTTCGAAAGGTTGAGGAGTTGTCGACACATGTTTGGCCCTGGGCGAGGCTCTAACTGCTCCTAGCCCTTGCACTACGAGATCACAGTCGGGTTCGAATCCCGTGCGAGGCCGGAGTTTTGTCCTTGCATCGCCAACCTTGTTAGGCTCTCACGATCCTGGCCCGCATTCTCCGTACGAAACTTTCACACCGATACCTCAAGAGCGTTCAGGATTTCAATGGGAATTCAAAGGCGCAGTCCATGACAATTCTGAGGTACCTCCTGTTAGTCAACAAATGGAAGTGTAGGGTGAGAATAGTCACGGTAGTGAAGAAAGTGAGAAAATTCGCTGATTTCGAGTAGAGTGGGGCTCCTCAAAGTAGGTATAATAGAGGTTGGAAGAGATTACCATGAAGAAAGTAACATGGAGGTGGTATTCGGACGAGATTTCAGTTGTTGCAATTGTGCAAGGAACTGACTACATCAAGCCAGAATTGTAAAGATCTACCTTCCACTATCACTATTGGCTATGACAAGTTGTTTGATCTCGCTAAATTGACTCCTTTGCCCGCCGGTGCAGCCTCCACAGTGCCGGCGAAACTCGTCCAAGGATACGCATGGTACAATCTTTGAGCTTTTATTACGCCTTGTCTAGGCCGTTTCCAGGTATGACAGTGCCACTTACAGCATGCGGGAGTCCCACAAATACATTCTGACGGGATATCTCAAAAGTCATTTTTATCGTAAACTGTGCTTTTGATCAGCTTGCTTACTTATGCCTATACCTACTATCAATTCGTGCTTGTGGAAACTACGGAGGAACGTGTCACAAACAATACGCAATCTGTAACCGTACTTGATGTGAAAACTTTTAAATGGGCTCTCTTTACCTCCGAAGGGAGGAGGAGGAGGAGAAGCGGGTGGGTGGTGAATAGGCTACGATTTTAAGGATATTCGCCATTCACCCTATATGTAAGATGACATGAAACTGTAATATGTAAATGATAAGTAAAAACTGTAAGGTACCACTCTGATTCGAGATCGGATTCTGACTATATTGAGGTATCAGTCTGTGTTCGACAACCTACTTCTTGTCCCTTATCCGCTTATTCATCATTTGATCAACAACAATCAACAACAATAAGTGGTAACATCTAAACTCCTGTTTCTTCAGGTTTTCAATACTGGAGCCAGATAAGGAGCCATCGGCGAAAAGTCGGTTGATGTGCCTCGTTTCCTCAAATGAGTTGCCACGTGGTGTAATGAGAACTGCACATTCAGCTAATGTCGTCCGCAACAATAAACGTTTCAAAATGTCTAAAAGAAAGCATCGTCGAAGGAAGAAAAGCCAGACTGGATGANCATAACGTGAATCAGGGCCACATGTGTTTGTCTACTGTGCCCCGTGCTTTTTGGTATATTGTTGAGCTTTTTGGTACATTGTTGAAAAGGATGTATAGTATTATAGTGTAGCGCCGGCTACATCGGCCCTACCCTAACCTTCCACCCATTCATGATTAGCGGCGATTCGGTCAGCATGAGCTTGTGCGAAGGTCCTAGGAAAGGAAAGTATGTATGGATACAGTGGTCGAAGGTAGACTTTATGATAAAAATCGCTTACGATATAACCTGTTGGGATAAATCTGTGGCCCCCTATTATATGTGGTGCTGACAGGTCGGAAAACGGCCTAGATAGGGCAATATAAGCTCAAAATAGTCCCTTGTGTATGCGTGGGCGAGGCGAAGTGAGTGTAGATGACGCACCATTCACAAGGGAGACCATGTGGAAATACAATCATCTGTTCGTGACTTATAACGACAATGGAAGACAGTTCTGTCCAGTTTTGGCTTGATGCAGTCAGCTCTTTGCGCAATTGCAACAACTGAAATCTCGTCCTAATACTCCTTCCATGTTATTTCCGTCATGGAAATCTGTACAACCTCTACTTCAGCTACTTTTGAGGAACCCTGTTCTTCGCAAAATCATCGAATATCCTTGCTTCCTTCTTTGTGCCTTTAGAGTCACAGTTTGCGATAATTTCGAGGTACTCTTTTTAGTTGAAAAGAGGGAGTTTATTGGATGTAGTGCTTCGGTAGCGGAGAAAACGAGAGAATCCGCCTACCTCGCGAAAAATGAGGCTTTTTAAAAGTAGTGGTACTAGAGAGTAAATGAGATTACCACGACGAAAAGGCATGGATCGAGTATTCGGACGAGATTTCGATTGTTACTATTGCACAAAGAGCTGGCCCAGTCAGAGTCGTCTAAAACTGTCATCCACTGTCGCCGTGGGTCATGACAAGTCGTTTGAACATTCAACAGTCCTTTGAAATAGTGCAGCCTCCGAATCACCGTATACTCGTCCGCTGTGGGTGTCGCATTCAGATACAATGTCTTGCCCCTTATTGTGCCCTATCCAGAACACTTTTTGACCTCACACAGCCGCACATGGTATCAAAGGGGGCTTCGAATTCATGTTAAGTGGAAAATTCAGAAGCCATTTTTATCGTGAACGCAAATAACTAAGTAAACGCATTGAAACCTGCGGAAGTTCCGTGCTTGCTTGAGCTGAGATCAGGACTTTCGAGACATCTAACATCCTGCTGCACCGCGATCGGAGTTGTTCCTTGCTCCGATGTGTTTGAAATGTCTTGAATGTGTCTCATTAATACCGAACAACAGATGGAAGTAGTGGATGTGCGACGAGCAACGATGCAAGCTGGGACTGCAGTTGAAATCGAAGGAAGACGGACGATTG